AATATAAACTTCCATTGATTTACCTAATTGTTCTTCGAACATTTTATTCACTAGGCGTTGGTAAGTAGCCCCTGTATTTTTTAGCCCGAAAAGCATCACATTATAACAGTACGTTCCATATTTGGTGACAAATGAAGTTTTGTCCTGGTCTTCCGGGCTCATCTGGATTTGATTATACCCGAAGTAGGCATCAAGAAAAGTGAGGATCTCGTTGCCGGCTGTGGCATCGATCATGCGATCGATGTTGGGCAGTGAAAATGAATCTTTGGGGTATGCTTTGTTCAAATCCTTATNGCCGACCATGGCATAGATCATGCGATCGATGTTAGGCAGCGGAAAAGAATCTTTGGGGCACACCTTATTTAATTTCTTATAATCTACACACATTTTAAGTTTGTTCCCTTTTTTAGGGACTACAACTACATTGGCTAACCATTCGGGATATTTCACCTCCCGAATGGACCCTATCTTGAGATGTTTGGTTACCTCGTCCTTTATGAATGCGTGCTTTACCTCGGACTGGGGTCTTCTCTTTTGCTTCACCGGTCTGAACTTCGAGCCCAAGCTTAGCCGATACGTCATTATGTCCGGTGGAATCCTTGTTATATCTAAATGGGACCAGGCAAAACAATCAATGTTATCAATAAGAAATTGAACAAGTTCTTCCTGAGTTCGGGGCTCAACCACGTTCCCAAGTATACCTTTCATTCGGGCCAGTGCTCGATTAGTGTGATTTGCTCCAATTCCTCAATTGTTGATTTGGTGGCGTCGGAGTCATCGGGAATCACGAAGGATCGAGGGACCCTCTGATCATCATCTTCTTCGATCATTTGGTTATCTGGTTGGGTCGAAGCCGATGTCTGTGATTGCTATTTGGTGTCTCGTTCTCTTTCTGAGCTTGATCCCTTTACTGACGAAGGTGAGGATATTGGTTTTGCTTCCTCGACGGCGAACATTTCTTTTGCGGTTGGTTGTTCTCCGTACACTATCTTGACTCCTCTCAATGTTGGTAATTTAAGGACCTGGTGTAGGGTCGAAGGTATAGCTCTCATGTTGTGGATCCATGGCCTTCCGAAAAGGGCATTGTACCTCATGTCGTCTTCGATCACGTGAAACTTCGTTTCTTGGACGGTTTCGGCCACGTTTATTGGTAGAATTATCTTGCCTTTGGTGGTTTCACATGCCATATTGAATCTGTTTAGAACCAGGGTTGCAGGTACGATCTGGTCCCGTAGGCCGAGCTGCTCTACGACCTTCAATCTAATGATGTTGGCCAAGCTACCTAGATCAATCAACACACGCTTAACTTTAGTTTTATTCATGAGTACAGATATTACCAGTGCATCATTTATGAGGTTGTACAACCCCTTCTGCATCTTCATCGTTGAAGGAAAAAGTTCCTATGGGTGTGTAATCCTATGTTCGAGATCGCTTTTCTCTCACAATCGATGTTTTAGTGCGTTTAACCACTAGTCCCTGAGGGGTATCGGCACCACCGATGATCATGTGAATGACGTGTTGTGGCTCTTCCTGCTCATTTTGCTTGCCGAAATCCGTATTTTTAAAATGGTTCCTTGCCCTATCACTTAAAAATTCCCGAAGGTGGCCTTTGTTAAATAACCTGGCTACTTCCTCTCTTAGTTGCCTGTAATCTTCTGTTCTTGGTCATGGGTTCCATGATATTCGCGCATTTGATTGGGATTCCTTAGGGCAGGATCGGTCTGCATGGGTCGAGGCCATTTAGTGTCTTTGATGCGTCCGATAGCCGACACGATGGCGGATACATCAACACTGAAGTTATATTCTGATAACCGAGGTGCTTCTATAGGATCAGCATATTTATCAAAGCCGCTCTTGCTCATAAGTCCCCGAGAATTTTGCCCTCGATCAATCCTTCAATTGTTACGAGCGGTATTGCGTGTTGAACCATTATTCATCCGATCTGCGACGTACGGTTGATATCAGTCTCTGTTTAACCTTTGTTCTCTATCGATCTCCCTTTGGTTTTTAGTAGGTGTCCTGTTCTGATGCATGGGTCCAGACGGAGCTCCCAACTGGTCATCTTCGACCCTAATTTTCGATTGATATCGGTTGTGTATATCTGCCCAAGTTATCGCTAGATACTCGATCAAATTTTGCTTCAGCCGACGTGATGCTATCGAACTTTGCTCGTTCAACCCTTGGGTGAAAGCTTGGACGGCCCAATCGTCTGTGACCGGTAGCAATTCCATGCGTTCCATTTGAAATCAGGATACGAATTCCCTGAGCATTTCATAACCCCTTTGCTTTACTTTGAAGAGGTCTGATTTCCTCGTTGCAACCTTTATGGCACCAGCATTTGCCTTTACGAACGAATATGCTAACATGGCAAAAGAATCGATGGAATTTGGCGGCAGATTATGATACCAGATCATCGCTCCCTTCGAGAGGGTCTCCCCAAACTTTTTCAACAACACAAATTCGATCTCATCGTCCTCCAAATCGTTACCCTTGATGGCACATGTGTAAGAGGTGACGTGTTTATTAGAATCAGTCGTACCATTATATTTGGGAATTTCGGGCATACAGAATGTTTTGGGGATTAGTTTTGGAGCCACACTCGAGGGAAAAGGCTTTTGTATGAATTTTTTCGAATCCAGCCCTTTTATCATTGGCGGAGCTCCGGGGATTTGATCGACCCTGGCATTGTATGTTTCCACTCTCTTGTCGTTGGCTTTGACTCATTTTGTGAGTTCCTCGAGCAATTTAGTAATTTTGGGAGTGGTCCCCAATTCTTGCTCGTTTGATTTCACTATGGCGGGCTCCGTTCTGGGGGTGATTTCTCGAAGCGGATTGGGATCTGGCATGCTTTGTATATGAGTTTGGATCTGCAACTGAGCTATCGCTACTTGTTGGGCTTGTAACATCTCGAAAATCATACGTAAGCTGGCTCCGATTTCCCCATGTTATGGGTGTCTCGAGCCACGGATCGAGTACCACTCTGAATGCTTTTTTCCGGTTCGGAACGTTGGTTCGCCTTAAGATCCACTTGCGAATTGACATCTAACGGTACTTCGGCTCAAATTTCGGGTACTTCAATTCAGGCCTCAGTGCCATCGCTAAGTGGCCTTCTGGCCCCGGGTACCAAGTTGTTGGTTTCATCTTGAATGCCGGCTTCGTGGTCGATAGGTAAAGCCACTGCTGATTCGAAGTTGTAAACTGGTGTGCACTGCAGATTTATATCAAATAATCACTGTTATCCTTAGCCCCACGGTGGGCGCCAAACTATTTACCCGAAAAATCAAATAATGTTAAATTTGTGTATGGTTCTAAGAATATGTGATACAATTTGATACAAATTGTATTGAGAAATAGAAATATGTGTATTCTTGACTATGAGAATGGGAATAGTGAGCAAAAGAATGAATAAGGTAAAATAAAACAAGCACAAGGAGATATCTTTCAATATGAGAAGTGATCTTTTGTTACACTGTCTCCGGCCTGTCTATGCTTACAAGGATTTTTCCTTTTATAATAGAGGGATCCTACTTTATTTATAATAAAATAAAGCATATAGTGGAGGACCCATGATGAATTGTCTCTTCCTCGATTCCCGCCAAGATTCTCTCCCTTAGTGCGGTTGTAACGGCTCTTGTCTGTGAGCTCGATACTAGCTCGAACTCGTTATTGGGTCGAGCTCTCGGTTTTGGCTTGAGTTCGACCTTCGGGGTGGGCGTAGCGCATTTCCGACCTCGAAGCAATGTCGTGCGGATCAATTTAGCTACGGGCTCGATAAAAGTATCGAGCCGACTCCTCGATCAGCCTTCGGACTCGAGGCTTGTTTGTACTGTCTTTAGAACTCATCCCGAAACCCTACTCCGGTTGCTTACCATTCGAACTCGATCGAACGTTGGAAGGCCGAAATCTATTTTGACCGTATACGATACTCTTTTTCTTTTCTTTTTTAACTTTAATCAAATGTTATCCAAACTCCTACTAATGGTCCTTCTCCTTTAATCCATTTATTGTACCACATTATTCCTCCTTCCCACCGTCCATTGATTCCTTGGTCTGCAAATATTTCATCCTTCTTGGATACTGTCTTCTAAGTATATGATCTTTTGTTAGTGTTATGGTTAATAATTTCGTTAGGAGATCCAAATTTTTTGGTAAGTAGTTGGAAACCTTACTTCAAAGCATTCTTATTTTTTTGGAAAAATTATGCGACACAACAAATATATATATGTATTTACTATTCATAGCTATACTTTCAGAAAATTATCATTCGTAGTTGTATTTGATTTTATAACAAATCCATCTAAAAGTACTGAAACAAGATATCAATTGTTTTGAATTGAAACAAGAGAGCAACAAGCTAAGCTCTTGTAGCTTAGTTGGTTATACCACCCTCTTACTAAGTGGAGGTCTTGAGTTCAACTCACAAGAGAGCATTTTATTTTTCTGCATTTCACCTTGGATCAATACAACCTCTAACTTTAGTCTTTATGAAAATTCCGAAATTAAGAAGGCACTTTTTAAAACTTTATTTAAAAAAGTCCCCCCCTCCCCCCGCGGTTCCAAATTGTCCGTGAAACTTTTTTCCCCATGATCTACATCTATGGTTCCGTAACATTGGGAAGAATAATCGAAATATAATCAATGATTTCCCATGTAAAGTGCGACAAATAAAGGGTAATCAGTCTTCACAAGTCCATTGCCCTTGATGTGTGTGATAATATAGTAAGTAGAGAGTGTAAATAATCAGAAATCATAATATGGCTAGCTGTGTTATCAACCGATAACATCCAAAACGCGCAAGCTGGTGTGGTGAAGGTAGAATTTTTAGAATATAGTAAGTACTGGGAATAAAGGTGAACGAATAAATAAAGATGAAAGAATAAAGAATAAAGAATAAAGGTGAACGAATATAAAACGTGCATGGCATATTATTATAATTGTTTGCACGTGGAGGAAAAAATCTCGTCATATGTTGCCATTCGCCATTATAAATACTACAGTACGTGGAACTGTTTCTGGCATCAAAAGGGAAAATTTGTTAAGAGAAAAGACATCAAAATTTTAAGGGAAAAAAAATGGTAGGACCAATTCGTCCATCGTTCGTCCTATTTGGGTCATCAATAGTGCAGATCAGCTACTACTTACAAGGTTGGGGTGCAACACTCAATACCCTCTACGCTCGCAAGGTATTTCTTCTACCCTTGCCTTTTGAGTACGCTCGTATTTAGAGGCGGATCTAGGATTTTAATTTTATAGGTTCAACATTTAAGTTTTTAGCTTTTAATTCATTATATTTTAAAGTTATGAGTTCATATCTATTATTTATTATTACTTTAGTGATTTTTACATATAAATTTATATTTTGCGTCGAAAGTACTAGATTCAGTTGAACCCGATAACTGTATGCTGCATTCGCCCATACCCATGTTTGTGGAGACAGATTCAGAATTAGAATTTGATACGTTCACTTTTATGTTCTTTTCATTAAACTCATTATTAAAGTACTCCGTATAAATGAAAAGGTTAGGTTCAGTTTAACTCATTTGATCTACATATTGCATCCACCTATGCATATCGTCTTATCCCATCTCTTCCTTTGCCCTTTAAACTTCAGGATTATTTACTCTTAACGACATGTTTTTATTTTTATAGACACAAACTTCACGATTTACTCCAAGCAAGTACTTTTTCTATACAATAGGCAAAATATAATAGGCTGAAAGTATCATTTCAACTTTAAACTAATCTTTTTATTCTATAATTGGAACAGGCCGATATAACATTGCGTGGATATATTGGTTGGAACTCAAGGATGGCTCTTAATATTTACGAGAAAGTTTTCCCAAAGGTGCCTAAATATGCTTTATGGAATATTGCATGTATCCTTCTTTTTCAATGATTTCTGTTGGGCCTTTTTCTTGCAAAAAATATAAACCAACTATGTTGTGAATTTTATCTAAATATAAACCCAAGAGTTTAGACCATATTGGCTAGTCGTTGTTCCTCAAGTTATTGATATATAATGTTTATTTTTTTTCTATCAAAAGAAAATAAATTTCTTTGATATGGAAATTTAATTTATAATTTGTTTAATTCCGATGTAGGATGCGGAAATTCAGCCTGATCTTGTCATACTTTATTTTGGTGGGAATGATTCTTGCCATGCTGATTTTCCTAACAGCAGTCATGTCCCTCTTGAAGAATATGTTGAAAACATGAGGAAGATTGCACTTCATATCAAGGTAAACTTTGAAGATTGCACGTCATGACACGTGTTTTACATTCATTATACGGCTTAAATATCGGGCGCAGATAAATTTACCTAGTTATCATTATTTGAAACCTTTTCTTAGCTATTACTCCTACACTTTATTTGGTATGCTAACATAGACTCGTTACATATATATCACTTGCAGAGCCTTTCAGAAAAGACTCGTCTAATTATGCTTAGCGCTCCTCCGGTGAACGAGGAACAAATTATCCAACATTATGGGTAATTAACCTTGATATTGAAAGATAACCTCTTGTTTAATTCTCATGTAAATCTGTTAACAATGGTTTGAAACTATTCATTTCTCTTTATTTATTGGAATTCAGCGATAATCGAGGTAGAGATAATGAGACTTGTCGCATATACTCAGAAGCTGGTGTTAAATTAGCTCAAGAATTAGGCGTGAAGGTTATAGACTTTTGGTCGGCGCTTCAGGAACGTCCTGATTGGTTGACTACGGTCTTCTGGTAAGTTGAATTCTGCTATTTTTAACACCATAAGTTTTTAAAAAGTTTTTCTTCTTTTAAACTTTATGATCAGTCGAATTACGCAACAAAAGTTGAAACAATATTGTCATAATTCTTTTGAACAAAGGAAAGAGGGAAAGTTTATAAGAATTCATGAATAAATGATGGGCTTCTTTTTTCTTTTATTTTGTGTGTGTGTGTGTGTGTGTAGGGATGGGATGCATTTAACAAAGGAAGGAAGTGACATTTTGGTCAAGAAAATCTTGGAGATAGTCAAAGAGGCAGATTGGGAGCCAAGCCTAAATTGGGAAAAAATACCAGATGAATTTTCTGATATTGGTCCTGTCATGAGCCTTGACTTGCTGAAGGAGCATAAATAAAACTGTGCTGATTACTTGTATCCCAAAAAGTTATTTTGGGTGCATATTAAAATATGCAAGAATAAGCCAATTACTAGTCATTTCCCATTTTCCTGTTTGATGTTTTAAACTCTTTTGCAAAAGAGTAATAAGTGTTCCTAGGAATTAAGGCTTTGCCTTTTCCTGGAAGGGTTTGTTTTCTTGTAGAATGCTTTTGTGCTTGCTATGTATTATGGAAAGTTTATTAATATTCGAATAAATTAATGATTCTGAAATTCGCCCATTGTTGTTGAAAATACCAGCGAGAGCTAAAATCCAAGTGCTCCGTTGCTGCCATAGTTATAAAGTAAATTTATATTTTTTTCCAATATCTTGCCAGTTCAAATTTCAAAAATACTAAGAGCTTCGAATCAAACAGCAATGGAAAGCCAAAATTCTAATTCCTTAAATCCAAATTAAACACTTCATTTTAGGCATAATTCATCATCCTAGCAGGTGCATAACTATCCTAGCTACATAAGAGGTAGTAGTNATATATATATATACACAAACGTCCATCCCAACCTGTTATTCATCATTTTATACGTATTAACTGAAGAGATTTTTAAATTGGGAAGGGAGCATAGGATGGTGAGGATAGAATGTTGGTGTAGATTGAACAGTCACTAGTCAAACTTTGGATTGGCATGAAGCAAAAGCTGGTCTGTCATTGCTTGCCATAAAAGAGCTTAACATACAAATTGGTCCTACACTCTCCTTTCTCCATTTATAACTACTAAGGATTGTGAGATATAAAAAGAATGAAAACCCCTTTCTCACCAACTTCAGCTTCTTCACTTCATTTATATTATCCCTAACGTGTCTTNTTGAATGAGGAATATCAGTTATTCCCTCTTCGCGCTCTCTCTATGTTCGATCTCTCTCTCTCTCTCTCTCTCTCTCTCTCTCTCTCTCTCTCTCTCTCTCTGTCATTGTTTAATTTAAGAACCAAATTTTAGTCATTTGAGCTTAATAATTAGTAACTCCTTTTTATTATCGAAAACAGATATCCCTATCATTTTGTTTACCCATAAAACGAATAACAATTAAATTTGCACGCGATTTTAAGGATATGTGGATTGATTCAACACAAGTAATCAAGAATGTTAGATAAACGAAGTAAGGATGAGATAAATAACCAAACCAGTTGTGACGCTGAGTCCGGGCAATAGTTTTGCCCTAAACTGGACCCTCGGTTCGAAGCCAAATACGTGTGAAAAACTATGATTAAAATAAGAACTTTTTAATAGCTAGAAAGCAGAGAAATAATTTTTGTATTGCTTTTATGTGCATGTTATAATGTGTATTGAATGAAAAAGCCCCCCTCCCCCCTTTATATAGTAGGAGAATTTCATCCCTAGTACAACTCTAAAAAAGGTAAAAAACAAATTTCTCCTTTCTCGTCAATTACTGATATGCTACCTACGTCTGGCGAGATTCGCGCCGTAATATCCGGTTGGGTGCGGATATCACGGCTTTATGTTAGTCGTGTGCAACCGTTCGTAGTGCCTTCCGAAGTTTAGGAGCTCGATCTGGGTTCGGGGAGTGTTGTCTTGCCAGGCCCGGTTGCGAACACTCTGTTCGGCCCCTGGTACGAGAAGTCCCTAGCTTCGATTCTAATCCAATGAAGTCATGTCTTCGCTTCGTTTGACCCACGGGGTAATCGGGGTATATGTTACCCGCGGTTTTACCCGTATACAAATAGTCCCCTCATTTTCCCTCATTTCGAACTCTACAAAGGCTTTCGTCGTTCTCAAATCTTCATACATTGTTTCTTGAACCTTCATATCTTCATCTTCAACCTCAAACCGTCATACATTTTCTTGGATTTTCAACCCAGAACCTCATATCTTCACTTTCAAACTTCAAATCTTCATACACTCTCTCCAAATCTTCATATATTTTCCAGATTCACGATGGCCAAGACTTTTAAATCAGTTCCTCAGCAGGCTGCCTCTTTATCTTCTCACCCAACCATAGGTACCGACACTACTAAAAAAATAGATTTTAGCGACAGACAAATTATGTAGCTAAATAGAAAATATCTATCGCTAATCTCGTTTAGCGACGGATTAGCAACGGATTATCAAGAAATTCTGCTAGCTATGAGCGTTTTAGCGATAGATTAGCGACGACTTTCGTAGCTAATTCTAATTTTTTTTTGTAGTGTGAGGCAACCGTCCCCGAAGTGGTTGTTCTCAAGACGGCTGCTCTCGAGGTGGTTGCTACCGAAGTGGCTGCCGCGGAAGTGGCCCCAGAGCCCCCCCATGAAAAAAAATTTTTCGGGGGATGTTCAATCTTATACGACTTCAAAGTCGAGAGGGCCTCATCCAAACAAGACCGAGGTGAGGGGGCATCGAGTTATATATGCTATGTCACCAAAGATACCCTTCCCATTGTCCGGGAAGAGTGTACTTGGGGAGGTAAGGACGTGGTAGTCCCCGGGCTTGAGGACGATATCACCACTCATGTCGAGGGGTATTTAAGTATTTACACTTACCCCTTCACACTAGGCCCAGTAGACCCAATTATTTTGGCATTTTGCAAGAGATACGAGGTGTACCTTTGGCAAATCCACCCATCTCTTTGGAGGATCGGGATCCTCCTTTGTTATTTTGTGAATAACACCGAGTCTCCTTGGTTCACCCTCGACCACCTGCTCCGTCTATACAGTCCCTGAATTTTTCGAGGGGGACTAATCAAGCTCACTCGTCGGGTCAACAAGGCCCCCTTTTTCGAGCATCGGTGAGGATCGAGACCGAGGCTGGAAGGGGCGCTTCGTTCAGGTGAAGACTGAAGATTTGATCCCTTCTGAGTTTCTGCCATTCCCCGAGAAGTGGAATACATCTCGTAAGTGTAATATTTCATTAAATGTCGAGTCTTCTTTGTTCCCTTTCTCACCATAAGTATTTGTGATCGTGCAGCTGTTGTTCGGGTTCCCAATATGGTCCCCCGGCTCATAGAGTGGATCGAAGGCATCGGCAAGCAGATGTCGTATTTTGAGCGCTCGTAGCGCAAGCTTTCGAAGGGTCGATGGCCCGTTCACATGGTAAGGCTCTTCTTAGAATAATTACTATTACGCCCCGAACTCACACAATGCTGACCTTTTTCTCTTTCCTTCACATATTTGCCTAACACCACCGAACTTAGGCCGTTGAAAGGGGGCGAGGATGCATCCTTGTCCGTTGATCCCTCCATTATGGGACAGCCTGGGGCTGTCGCGGAGGAGAAGAGGAAAAGGAAAAGAAAATCTTCGGTCACCCGGGTCCCGAGGTGAAGCCAAAGAAGAGGGCGGCTTCCCAGGCTTGTAAGCCAAAGAAGAGCACCAACTCTCGGGTGCCGGATTCTGACTCACTTCTCCGGCTCAGGGATGAGTCCGTAGAAAATGACATTTTTGTCGGGGAGTAGGCGGCAGCCGAGGAGAAGAGCCATGAGGTCGATCTCCTTTCGACTCGAGAGGCCGAGATGGAGACTGGGGCTGAGACCACCCGAGAAGCCGCTTCTGCTCCGAAGGAGGCGACTGGTGTAATGAATATCATGAAGACGCCCTCCTACACCGAGTCCATGCTTGAGGAGGCCCAAGCAGGAAAAGAGAAGTCAAGTGAAGGAGTTCATGGCACGGATGACCCTCTTCACTCCTTCTTCGATGGCGCGGACTCGTCCACTTTGGAAGACTTTTCCGGGCTGAGTGACCTAGAGGTCCCGAAGAAGGACGTTTCTTAAGAAGATGGGGGGCCGAGTTCGAGCCCAAAATTGGTGAAGCAATTTCCTGCTCCGAGTGTGGACCCCGACCGCAAGAGAACAATCATTCTTACGGTACCGAAGGATGCTCGAGTTCTGTCTTCTCCCTTGGGTATAGCCAACTACCTCCGATGCCTGGTAACCGAGGAGGACCAGGCAAATATGAATGAGGTGGGAACGTCGTGTCTCTTCAACGAGGCGCAACAAGCGCTGAACCAGGTAAGGCATTAATACTTCCTCTTGAATTCTACTTAGGTTCCACTATCTCTTATTATTTTCGTTGTTTTGCAAGCCTCGGTGCTTCACCATGAGATCTTCCTCCGGTACTGCTTCGAAATCAGCTAGCTCGAGTTCGAGCTTAAGGAGCAGCCCCGAAAAAATGACATGCTCAAGCTCCTCAGTGAGCAACAGGACAGGGCCCTCAAGGACCTTCAGGCCGAGCTAGACAGGACTCAGAAGGAAGCTTCGACCCTGAGGCAGGAACATGCCACTCTGGTTGAAAAGGTAAAGGTCTTTGAAGCTAAAAAAGATGAGCTAGTCGTGGTGACTAACAACACAACCTCGCAGGTTCAACAGAAGATCAACATGATCGACCAACTCCGAGCCAAGATTAACGAGGTCCAAGCCATGGCCGATGGGTGGAAAAGCAAAATGGACATGCTAGCTTCGTAGAAGGAAACCGCCAAGGCAAAGTTGACATCAGTAGAGGTCCAACTCCAGGTGGCGAAAGAGAAAGCTGATAAGTGGTCTCAGTTGCATGATGATCTCTGAGCACAGCTGAGCTCGGCTGTCACGGAGCGGAATGCCCTTGGTAGAGAATACGAGGCAGTGAAGTCCAAGCTGGATAAAACCTCCGCTGACACCGATGAAATGGTGGCCCAATATAAGGCCGATGTAGAGGCAGCCGAAGTCCGCCTGAAGGCAAAAGCTGAATATATAAAATAGCTATCCCGAAGAGAGACCCTTGAGGAGATCCATGCCCGAGGTTTTGACCTGTCGGCTGAGATCGAGGAAGCCAAAAAATCTGAGGCCGAGGCAAAGAAGCTTTACGAGCTTGAAGGTGCCGAAGGCTCTAAGGTTTCTGAGGGCTCGGTGGGATCCGAAGGCTCTGACGGCATCGGCAATGAGTTGGGTCCTAGTGAATATTAGGCGTAGATCCTTTAGTACTTTGTTAGTTTGTCTTATGTATATTTTTTGTTCATTTTGAGGACGTTTTTTTGGGCCTTTGTAAGTATATTTAGGAATATATATAAAGTTTTCCCTTTCTGGCAATTTCGAGTCTTTATTTTTTCAGCATCTTTTCATAACTCCTATTCTTGCAACGCTTCTAATACCTTAGAATAGAATCAAATGTAGTTATAGGGCGTTCGATTTTTAGAGGTCCGAACGGAGCCTGACTTCGATACAACTTTATTTGTTCGAGGCTTTGAAAACTCGGTGTGACCGAATGTTTTTTCAAGATGCTTAAGTAATTTTAGACGATGCTTTTGCCGAGGGTAACCTTTTAGCAGGTTTTGAATTTTTATAAAGGCCTTACTTTCTGATTACGAGCTTCGTACGTCTCCGAGTCATTTTTAGGGCGGTCGTAGCCTTTTGTATTTAGGAACCGCCTAATAGGTTTGGTGCCTTCGGGATTTAGTAGCCCGAATTGTCCGAACTTTTTTGGATGACAGTTCCCGAGGGGGGTAGCCCTTGGGCTCGATAGTCCCCGAATAGGGGTAGCCCGTGGGCTTTTAGGATCCGAAATTTAAAAGGCAAAAAAATGTGTAATAGCAAGGCGAAACTTTCTTTAAATTTGTGTGTAAAGTACATGATCAAAATGCGTAAAAGCTTGTGTCATGGCTAAAGTGGACTATGTGGGCATGGTTCACACGACCGTTTGGCCCTTACAATTAATTCTAACCATCGAGTCTTAGCTTCTAGCATATAAGGCTTTCTTTTTTCCTTGCTGAATTTTTCCTTGCTGAAAACCTTAATCCGAGGGTAATGGACCCCAGTATTCGAGGTCGAGCTTGAGAGGGCTCGAATACTGTTGATGCAAAATGAACGCCCAATGACTCCAGTTTGATACCGTCCTTCGAATCTAAGTTAGCATATTTTATTGTTGCCTCATTAAAAACCTTGCCGCAAAACTCATTTTGGGACAAAACCGGTTCAAAGAAAAAAGAGTGCAACGCGTTCTTTCAGACCTAATAGCTACATCCATTATTGAGCTTGCCTGTAAGTGTTAGTCCGATACATAACATGATTAACGAGTAGTTAAGATCGTACCTTGGCAGTAGTACCGTTTTAAGTGTATCACGTTCCAATTATTCGGTAGTTGCACACTGTTTCCCGCTTCGAGTTTGTATGAGCCTTTGCCGGTAATTTCGATGACTCGATACGGTCCTTCCCAGTTTGATAACATCTTTCCCTCGTTCGGCTTTCGTGTGTGTAATGTTACTTTCCTCAGCACCAAGATTGTTTACCCTTAAAACATATAACACTTAAATTTGTACGCGGTTTTAAGGATATGTAGATTGATTCAACACAAGAAATCAAGAATGTTAGATAAACGAATTAAGGATGAGATAAATAACCAAACCAGTTGTGACGCTGAGTCCGGGCAATAGTTTTGCCCTCGACCGGACCCTCGATTCGAAGCCAAATACGTGTGATGAACTATGATTAAAATAAGAACCTTTCAATAGCTAGAAATAAGAGAAATAATTTTGTATTGTCTTGATATGCGTTTTATAATGTGTATTGAATGAAAAAGCTTTCCGTTTATATAGTAGGAGAGTTTCATTGCTAGTACAACTCTAAAAAAGGCAAAAAATCCTCCTTTCTCATCAATTATTGACATGCTACCGACGTCAGGCGAGATTCGCGCCGTGATATCCGATTGGGTGCGGATATCACGGCTTTCTGTTAGTCGTGTGCAACCGTTCGTAGTGCCTTTCGAGGTTTCGGAGCTCGCTCTGGGTTCGGGGAGTGTTGTCTTGCCAGGCCCGGTTGCGAACACTCCGTTCGGGCCCTGGTACGAGAAGTCCCTGACTTCGATTCTGATCCCATGCAATCATGTCTTTCGCTTCGTTTGACCCATCGGGTAATCGAGGTATATGTTACCCCCGGTTTTACCCATATACACATTTTCTTGCCCCTTGATCATTTACAAATACAGATAACGTTTTGCTTAAAGTGTACACTCGGACCGAAAACTGGAATGGAATAGACAAGATTGAATTTTATTAAATATATGTTTAGTTAATATAACCTCGAGTATGTTTGGTCTAATTAAGATAACAACCCCATGAATGATTTAACTTGATAAAAATGCATATATAACATCAATAGGCCTATATCAATTGATAAATGTTGAGATCTGACTAGAGGGTATAGAAATGCAATACAGTAACACTTAATTACAACGATATGAATCTTTACTGCAAGCAAGTTCTCGCAATCATTTACCTACTTTGTTTGGATGAAAACACTAATCACTAGATATACTTTTAGAAAGTTTCTTGGACAAAAAATTTACACGTTTGCATGATTCACAGCGTAATTGGTTAAATTGTTTTTAAACATATACTATGTACTTATGTAGTCCATACTTCTTCTATTTAGTACTCCTTTCATCCCAATTTGTAAACGAGTTTCTTTTCGATTATGATTTTTCATATGATTTTTGAATACTTTTAAATTATTAATTATTGTGGCTTACAGTACGTTTTGTGTAGTTTTCAAATATGTAAAAAGATTAAAAAAAAAAAAAAATTTAAAGATTATGTGTCCAAATTCGCAATCAAAAATTAAAAAACTTTGACTTTCGAAATCTGAACGGCATCACTGAGTTGGGAGAGGGGCGGATGTAGAGTTTGGCTGCCGGGTTCATCTGAACCCAGTACTTTTGATGCGGAGCATAAATTTATGTGTAAAACTTTATTAAAATTGCAACAAAAGATAGGTCTGAATCGATAACTTTAAAAAAATAATGAATTCAATCCTAAAAATCTTGAAAATCGAACTCGTAAAATCTAGATCCTGGATCCGCATTAGAGTTGGGACGAAGGGATTACTTTTCAAAATATTAGAGAAGGGTAAATGCTAAAGTTTGGTGATTGATCACTTGCAAAAACCCTAGCTAGAGGGAGAAGAGAAAGAGAGGAAGAAGAAGAGAAGAAGAAGAGAAGAAGAAGAAATATCTGAGAGAAAAATGAATGTATCAGTGGAAAAATTCTATTTCACACACTCTGTATCTCTTACATGTACACATATATATACACGTGTGACTTTTCACTACTATAACAAACTAACTAACTATCTCATTAACTCCCTAACTGACTTATCATACATAAATAAATTAAACCACCTCTAATTATCAAGTTACACCTTTCTCCTAAATACTCCCCCTCAAGCTAGGTGGTATGAAGATATCAAGTACCCCTAGCTTGGACAGCAAATAGTCATGTTGAACTCTGGTTAAGCCCTTGGTTAGGATATCTGCTAGCTATTCCTGAGTTGCTATATATTATGTCCTCACCAACCCATTCTGTATCTTTTCTCTTATAAAATGACAGTCGATTTCGATTTATTTAGTGCGTTCATGGAATACTGGATTGGCAGCTATTTGAATTGCTGCATTGCTGTCTGTGAGTATGTTCACAGGAAGTTCAACAACTACTCCAATATCCTTGAATAAGCCAAGTATCAAAACTAACTCTGCTACTGTTGATGCAATGCTCGTATACTCTGATTTTGCTGAGCTCCTGGAAATAGTGTTTTGCTTCTTTGACTTCCAGGACACTAATGACTCACCATACTTGATAAAGAATCCAGTTACTGATTTCCTTGTGAGAAGACAGGCTGCCCAGTCAGCATCACAATATGCTGTAATAGTGTTCTCATTTCTGCTAGACAACAGTATGCCTTGTCCAGGCTGCCCTTTCACATACTTGACCACTCTTTGTGCAGCTTCCATATGAGACCTTTTTGGCTTCTGTATATATTGACTCAATGTCTGAACACTATATGCTATGTCTGGTCGTGTGACTGTCAAGTAGAGTAGCTTTCCTAGTAGCCTCTGGTACTTGCCGGGGTCTCTCAAGGTTTCATCTGTTGTGCCCTCAAGAACACCAATATGTTCATCATATTCCTTAGTAGTGAGCTTGACATTAGCTTCAATAGGTGTAACTGCAGGCTTTGCAGCTCCCAGTCCAAGCTCAGAGATGAGTACTAGTGTGTATTTCCTTTGATGCATCAGAATACCTTGTTATGACCTGGAAAACTCAATGCCAAGGAAGTATTTCAACTCTCCTAAGTCCGTCATCTTAAAAGTCAGTTGTAGCTTAGTTTTGACTTCATTTATTAGTGTCAGATCAGGTCCAATTAGAAGCATATCATCCACATAGACCAAGATGATGACAATGTGGTTGCATGTCCCTTTTACAAATAATGAGTTATCATGTTGACTCTGCATGAAGCCTAAGTGCACCAGTGCTTCAGACAACTTAGCATTCTACTGTCTTGGTACCTGTTTGAGGCCATACAAGGATTTCAAGAGTCTACATGTTGGTCTACTCACCCCCTGTCTCTGAAAGCCTTGAGGCAGAGTCATATATATCTCATCATACAAGTCACCCAGTAGAAAGGCATTGTACACATCCATCTGATGAATGTGCCAATGCTCAGAAGCAGTAACTGCAAGAACAGATCTGACTGTAACCATTTTAACCACTGGACTAAATGTTTTCTGATAATCAATGCTCTCTTGCTGGCTATACCCCTTGGCCACAAGCCTGGCCTTGAACCTTTCTACCTTACCTGAGGCCTTGTACTTTACTTTGTATATCTATTTGCACCAAATAGGAATTTTTCCATCAGGCACGGAGACCACATCCCAAGTGTGGTTAGATTCTAAGGCAGCAATCTCAGCCTGCATAGTATCCACCCACCTAGGATCTTTAACAGCTTCCTCAAAGGAGGTAGGTTCCACTATAGACGAAAAGGCAGCTAGATAGGCCTGATATGTAGAAGAGAGTCAATCATATGATACACAGTTGGAAATAGAGTAAGGCACATACGTGTGTCCTGGCAAAGACACAAAGTCTTTCATCCAAATAGGAGCTTGTCTGGTCCTTGATGATCTCCTTAGACCAGGGAAGCTGAGGTCCTGAGAAGGCAAGGTTGCTGGAACTACTTCAGATGGTGAGTGGTGCTGTATATTTAAGTCATGTTCTGATCTGCTAGCTGCATGGTCAGAATCAATAGAAGAGGGAGGTGAGGTGAGCCCAGCATCAACAATAGAAGATTCATGGGGCAAGAACACAGGTGGTGTAGATGCTGAAGAGTCCTTAAAAGGGAAAACACCTTCCCTGAAGGAAACATCTCTGTTAATGAGAAAGCAATGAGTATCTAAATCTAACAAAATATAACCCTTTTGAGTATCAGAAAACCCCATAAGGACAGTAGGTTTAGCTCTAGGAAGAAGTTTGTCTATCTCCTGAATCTGTTTGGCATAACACAGACATCCAAGAACTCTCAGATGGTCCAAAGTGAGTGCTCTACCATATAACAACTCAAAGGGAGATAGGCCATTGAGTACAGAATATGTCATTCTATTAATAATATATACTGCTGCAAGAACACAATGACCCCAGTACTTAATAGGAATATTGGCCTGAAACCTTAAGGCTCTAGTCACCTCCAGGATATGCCTGTGTTTCCACTCACCAACTCCATTCTGATGAGGGGTGTAAGCATATGTCTTCTGATGGATAATGCCATATTTCTGGAACAAGGTCTTGCATACAGAGTTAATAAATTCAGATCCATTATCAGATCTGACTGCCTTCAAGGTTTTGTTAAATTGAGTTTGAACAAACATAATAAACTGAGCAAGTACAACACATACATCAGATTTTAACTTCAAAAGAAACAACCAAGTCATTCTGGTAAAATCATCAACAACAGTCAAGAAGTACTTATTTCCATCAAAGGTTGCATACTTGTAAGGACCCCAAACATCCACATGAATTAGATCAAATGCATCAGTGCTCTTAATACAACTAGTAGGAAATGGTAACCTAGTTTGTTTAGCACATGGACATACAGTGCATTTATTGATAGTATCAGTAATACTAGCTAGTTTAGCAGGAAACAGTCTTCTGAGTACCACACTAGAGATATGACCTAGTCTTTTATGCCACAGAGTAATATCAGTAGTTCTTGACTTTATTCCAGCTACAACTAGGGCAACTGCAGTAAGCTTCTTGGCCCCATGTTTCTGCAGAAAGTATAGGCCATCTCTTTCCCTACCAATCTCCCTCACCTTGCCACTGAAGAGATCCTGAAATATACAGAAATAAGGATAAAAGGAAGCAAAGCATCTTAGATCTCTTGTCACCTTGGAGACTGACAATAAGTTGAATTTGAATTGAGGGACATAAAGCACTTCTTTAATAGTGCTTCTATCTAAAATATAACTATCTCCAATCTGAGTAACTTGAGTGACATCTCCATTAGGTAGTAGAACTCTTCTAGACTTAGAAGGTGTGATTAGGGAGGTTTTGATTAGTAAGTTAACATTTGACACCATATGATTTGTTGCACCTGTATCAATGATTCATTCTTGTTCTTATGAGTTAGTGGATGCTAAAAGAGAGGTATCAATACCTGCTGCATTTGAGTAACTTGGGGTATTGTTCAAAATCTGCATTATCTGATCATATTATTCCTTGGTGAAGGGAAAACCACCACCTTGTGGAGCAATATTTGTTGATCCCTGAGGTTGTGAAGTACCTTCCTGATTCTGAGTGCCTGAGATCCCTTGACCCTGTAATCCTTCAGTAACTTGCCTCACATACTGATGGCCTTGATACATAGGCATAGGTTGCATTGGCATAGATGTCATTGACCTGTTCTGAGAGACATGATTTGTGTGCAAAAGCACAACATGACTAGGTTCAATCATAGCATTGTATGCTCCAGCTCCCCCTTTCTTTTTAAACTTATAGTCTTGTGGATACCCTATGATTTTGTAGCAGTTTTCTTTACTGTGGCCTTTCATTTTACAGAACTCACACTGGACATTGTAATTCTTCCTAAACTTTGGATTGAAATTAGGCTTAGCACTGTATAGGGCAGTAGAGTCATAGGCATTTATGTTTACATTAGGAGCAGATCCTAACACTCCAGCAGTGGCTGCTATAGTTCTCTGACTTTCATCACTCATGAGCATAGTATAAGCTTGATTTACTGTTGGTAAGGGTTTCATCATAAGAATTTGACTACGATCTTGAGAGTAAGAGTCATTTAGGCCCATTAGAAATTGATACACCTTCTGTTTTCGTAAATGCATAATAAATTCTTTTGTCTTAGCACAGTCACAGCCAGGAGTAGGTACTACAGACTCAGTCTCATCCCAAAGATCTTTGAGCTTCGAGTAGTAAACATAGATAGATGCAGTACCTTGATTTAGAGTGGCAATTTCCTTGTGCAAATTATAGCAACATGTATTATTCACCCTGTCAAAACATTCCTGCAGATCCATCCATACTACCTGTGCACTAGTAGCGTATGCAATGCCACTGATTAATGCCGGAGCCACTGAATTCATCAACCATCACAGCACAATTGCATTGCACCTCTCCTATTGATACCAGTACTTCTCACGAAACCGCTCCTTAGGCCACCTGCCATCAACAATCCCAAGCTTATTTCGACCAAGTAATGCAATTCACATAGATCGATGCCATAGAGAGTAATTGTCAGTGCCGGTTAGCTGAAATGAGATCAAGGAGATTCCACTTGTATCGCTGGGAGCTAGGTACAGAGGATGAGTGACTGCTACTGTCACTCCTTCCTCAAATTCATCCTCTGATGATGCATGCGAAGCATTTTCAACAGTAGTATTTGGACTTTCATTCAACAAATCATCACCCGCCATTATTGAGCAATTTCGAGTTGAAAAAACAGAAAAATTGAGATATTAGATCTGAACCAGAAATTCAATTGAGAAGAAATTGAGGATCGATATCTGAGCTTCAATTCCGAGCTCGGAGCTCTGATACCATGCTGAAGTTTGGTGATTGATCACCTGCAGAAACCCTAGCTAGAGGGAGAAGAGAAAGAGAGGAAGAAGAAGAGAAGAAGAAGAAGAAATATCTGAGAGAAAAATGAATGTATCAGTGGAAAAATTCTATTCCACACACTCTGTATCTCTTACATGTACACATATATATACACGTGTGACTTCCCACTACTATAACAAACTAACTAACTATCTCATTAACTCCCTAACTGACTTATCATACATAAATAAACTAAACCACCTCTCATTATCAGGTTACACCTTTCTCCTCAACAGTAAAAAAAATTGCACTAAAACCGTAGACGTCTAATTTCACAAAGAGAAAATTTAAAACAGTGCAAAAGATACAACCACTTCATGCACATGCAGTAGCTATAGCATATATGGAAAATTTGTCAATATCATGCAAGCTTAACATCACGACAAAGGAAAGTTATTGAACTTCAGCAAAATATATAATTAAAATAGAGCTAGATTGTCTTTGACATCACTCTAAAGTTGTTTTCCAACTACAGTTGGTCAATTTTAGAAAAATTTATGTGCAAATTCTAAACTTCTTCCTGATTTTTCTTCTTTAAAATACACTATTTTCATCACCTAATCGACCAAGCATCTCATCAATATTTCTCTATATATACATCAATCTTAGAGCTATATTTCATCCAAGTTTACTACAATATCTAAAGCTGATCTTCACCCTTCAATTTAATTTCAAGGAAGAGATCAGACAAAATATTGATGGGGTTTTCTAGCACTTTTCCATCATTAGTTCCTATGGCAATGTTCTTTATTGCTTTTCTGGCACTATGTCTCATGCCTCAGCCTTCACAAGCTATCACCAGACACTATGAGTTCAATGTATGATATCAAAAGTCCATTCTACTTATCTTACAGCAAATAATGTGCATAATTTTTTGTTACTCTTGCTAACATATTTTCATTTTTGAATCTTTAATGTAGATTACAATGCAAAATGTCACTAGATTGTGCCATACTAAGAGCATAGTGACAGTCAATGGAAAATTCCCAGGGCCTCGTATTATCACAAGGGAGGGTGATCGTCTACTTATAAAAGTCAATAACCATGTTCCTAACAATATTTCCATTCATTGGTATAATATTTGGTCCTTATCTCCGTCCTACATTTGAGTCCTTTCTACATAGATCAT